CGTTGCCAATCCATCTAATGGATCCTGGCATGGTTACATGGTTGTCTGACAGACAATATCAATCTTTTTTGGTCTGGTGAAACTGTTTGACGAAATTCTGTTTGGCCAAATTGGAGATGCAGAGCAAGTTCGATGAAATGCCCTGAAAGAGATTAATGCCATTCTATTCTACCTGCCGTGCCAGTGCCAGGTTAAGATTTATGTTACTTTCATCATGACTGTTAGAGGTAAGCTAAAAAGGCTGATGATGTCTGAACATTTTTGTGCAAAAGACACTTACTTTATATGCTGCTGTTCTATTTTATGATTGATGGGTTTGTGTCTGATTAGTGGAATATGAAATGTTGTGGAGTTATATAGAAAATGTGGCCAATTAGAGATACATAACATGTGTTTGATGAAATGCCTGAACGAAATTACTTTATTTTATTCTTCTGTCAAGGTTATATACTTATGTTTTATGTTACTTTCATCAAGGTTATATACTTATGTTTGATGAAAGGGTTGTGTCTAAACATTTTTGTACAAAGGATACTCTCTGTATGCCGCTGGGCTATTTTAGGATTGATGGGTTTATCAAAAATAGTAGAGTTCTTTGGTGCAAAACTGCAAGTTGATCATGATCTTCATGTTAAGATATCAAAAGTTGGTGCGAAATTGAAACGTGGATGGATTGTGGGGTGATATTTAAATTTTGTAAATGTGTTTGTGATTCTTTTGACAGCTTTGTTTCATGGTCAATAACTCAATATCGTTGCTATTTTTATTATTTTACAACATGTGAAAATTCAAATCAGGTAGTCAGGTACCAATAATCTCATAAATGATCAGGTTGGAACACTATTTCCAAGTTAATTGACATATGATGTGCATAAAAAAATACATAACATAAAATAAAACATTTTTACATATGCCACAGACAAAAAATTTATTTGATACAAATAAGCTTACAATTTTATCTTTGATTCGACTTCTATCACATTTCTATATATTTTGGCTGAATGATTCCAGAAACATTAGAACTTGAGTGGTTTTTGTGCCAGAGTTTAGACGCCCTTTCTTGAAATTCCGGTGGTCGCCGGAAAACGAGGGAGGCGGCAGCTATCAAGATTCCGGCGGTTAGAGCCCATATCACATACACCCTGTTATTTGTTTTATGAGAAAAATAGTGAAGCAAGTATTTGTCTCCCCCATGTTCTCTCTCTTCATGTCGTCTGTTTTCATCCTGAATCAATAATCTTTTGACTTAATGGACTTAATGAAAAAACGACTTATTCCGTAAAGTTACATATGAATGTTTGTTTTTTACATAATACATAAAAAACAACTTAATAGAAGAGAAAAAGCATGAATATTAACCTTGAGAAACATTTCCAAAGGTGCATAGAATATGGATTCCACTTCTCCAGGATTTGGAATCGGATTAAATGCTTGTTTATCCCATAGGATACCCATCACTGGAACTACTGTAACATTCTTCTGCCATTACAATCAAATAGTTGACTACATGTTAAAAACGACTACATAAAAGCTATTGGGATTCTTACAAATCGTTATTTCATGACAAAACAGATAACAAAAGTTCATTTAAAGTAAGCACATTTAGCTCCTATTTGCACAATTTCCAAATTAAATTCAACATCTAATTCATATTGAAATAAAAACCGGAGAAAATAATCTTACCTTGGTTACAAACGGTTCAAGAACAGTAATAACATCTACAAGGGTGGGATCCAAGCCAATTTCCTCTTCAGCTTCCCTCAATGCGGTACGAATATCATCTGTATCCTCTTTGTCCGTTCTACCTCCCGGCAACGACACTTCCCCTGCAAAACGAACACATTTCAAGGTTTTAATTTCATTCAGGCATTTCATCGAATACCTAAAGTGCACGACTTTCTTTACCAGAGTAAGACGACAGCTTTGATGATCGTTCGGTTAAAATAACATAGATGTCATCTTCTTCCTCGAATAAACATATCAGAACAGCAGCTCGGTTGGGTCTTTTGGATCTTTCGGTTTGACCAATTGAGGGGTCATCTGAAATTGGGAAAACAGACTTCGATTGACGAAATCGTTGAGACAAGTCTAATAGCTTCTGTGATCTTGTAAAGTTATTGGAATCCATGAACAATATTCAATCCAATTACCGTGTGCTGGTAAGTTAGATCATATATGGGTTAATGGTCAACGTTGGTGTAATTTAAAATAGATACCAGATCTTATTTATTGTTTAAAAAAGAACGCAAATTTGGTATGGGTTAATAGTCAACTGCCAGATCTTATTTAACAACTTATTTATTGTTAAAAAAAACGCAAATTTCGTATGGGTTAATAGTCAACTGCTTATTTAACAACTTATTTATTGTTAAAAAAAACGCAAATTTGGTATGTGTTAACGGTCAACTGCCAGATCTTATTTAACAACTTATTTATTGTTAAAAAAACGGAAATTTGGTATGGGTTAATACTTAATAGTCAACTGCCAGATCTTATTTATTGTTCTGCAAATTTGATCCGTGTGATTCGCAAAAAACTATGGATAGAGTCCAAAACGTTTCGGACTTGCATGAAAAGTCCAAAACAAAAAATATTTCATGTTTTTTATCATAAAATTAAGAAATTTTCGTGGTTTTGATCCTTGAAAAACCTGAAATGACGGTTATGCCCTTTTAACTTCTTTTTTATATTTTTATATTTTCTTTAATAATTTGTTAATTAAAAATAAAAATAAAAGAATTAGACTCTCTCTCTCTCTCTCTCTCTCTCTCTCTCT